AACTTTTTTGGCAATGTCATATAGTTTCTGTGTGTGTGTTTTGCCTCCATAGTTAAATTTAATCCTAAGTATTTTTCTGCTATTATAATTGTTTTCTTAATTTCCATCAGATTGTTAATTGTTACTTATATACAATTGATTTTTGCATACTAAATTTGTATCCTGATTTGGGGAGTCGTTTTTCCTTTTACTTTATTTAGTTAGTTAGTTCATAATTTTATTACATTTTGAATTAGCACACATTAATATGAGGGGGGGTCTCATTGTGTATGGAAATACATATATACAGTGTACTTTGAATAAGTTTGCCCCCTCCATTATATTCCATTTCCTTCTTCTCTCCCTTTTATCAGTGTTTGGTAGGTTTCATTATGCTATCTTCATATACATGTCTTACCATGTAGCCTAGGCTGGCCTTGAATTTACAATCCTCCTGCCTTAGCCTCCCAAGTGTTGGGATTACAGACATATTCTACCATACCCCAGCTGCAACTATACCTTACCTGAATTCATTTATCAGTTCTAACAGTTTTTTTGGTTGAGTCTTTAGGGTTTTCCATATAGAGAATCATGTCCTCAGCAGAGACAATTTCACTTCTTCCTTTCTGATGTTGGTGACTTTTATTTATTTTTCTTGCCTTACTGTTTTAGTTAGGACTTCTAGTTCTATGGTGAATACTAGTGCTGAGAATGGTTCCTGATCTTAGAGGAAAAGCTTTCAATTTTGTAACATTGACAATGATATTAGTTGTGGACTTGTCATATATGGTCTTTATTGTCATGAGAATATTCCTTCTTTAATCAACTTTTTTAGATTTTTGGCATGAAAATGTTGGATTTTATCAACTGCATTTTCTGTGTCTATTGTGATCTTCATATGGTTTTTTTGTCCTTTCTTCTGGTGATGTGTTGTTTCATTATTATTGAATTGCATATGTTGAACTTCTTTGCATTCCAATAATAAACCCCACTTTATTATGATGAATGATGCTTTTAATATGCTTTTGTATTCAGTTTGCTGCAATGTTGCTGAGGACTTTTTGCATCTGTGTTCATTAGGGATATTGTAATTTTCCTGTAGTGTTCTTCTCTGGGTTTGGTATCAGTGTGATGTTGGCCTCATAAAATGAGTTTAAAGTGTTCCCTCCTCTTCAGTTTTTTAGAAGAATTTGAGAAAGATTGCTATTAGTTCTTTAAATGTTTGTGGAATTCAGCTAAGAAGCCATCTGGTCCTCTGCTTTTCTTTGATGGGAGACTTTTTATTACTGATTCAATTTCCTTACTTATTATCAGTCAGGTCAGATTTTCTATTTCTTCATGATTCAGTCTTGGTAAATTGTGTGTTTCTAGGAATTTTATCTATTTCATCTGGGTTAGTCAATTTGTTGATATATAATTGTCTACAATATTCTTTTATGACCCTTTGTACCTCTGTGATATCAGTTGTAATATCTTCTCTCTCCTTTCTGAATTTTTCTTATTGAAGTTATCTCCTTTTTTCTTAGTGTTAAGCATTTGTCGAGTTTTTTGAAAAAAACCTTAATTCTTAGTTATGTTGATCTTTTCTGTTGTTTTTTTCTGCTGCAGTTTTTATTTCCTTCTTCTATAAAAGTTGAGCTTAGTTTGTTCTTCTTCTAGTTCTTTAAAATATAACATTCGGTTATTTGAGATCTCTTTTTTGATACAGATTTTTTTCCATAAATTTCACTCTTGAACTACTTTTTTTAAATCTTATTAGTTTTGGTATGTGTCTCCATTTTCATTTGTCTCAAGTTTTTGTTTGTTTTTTGGGTTTTTTTTTTTTTTTGCAGTACTAGGGTTTGAATTCAGGGCCTATGACTCTACCAGCCCTTTTTTGTGATGGATTTTTTTCAAGATAGGGTCTCACAAACTTTTGCCCACACTGGCTTCAAACTGCGATCCTCCTGATCTCTTGTCTCCTGAGTAACTAGGATTACAGGTGTGAGTCACCAGCACCTGGCTCAAGATATTTTTTATTTACCTTTTATTTTCTTCTTTACCCTATTGGTTGTTCATGTCCATATTGTTAAATTTTCACACACACTTGTGAATTTTCCAAAGTTCCTTTTATTAATGGCTTATCATCTCATACCGTTGTTGTTGGAAAAGACATATAATATGATTTCAGTCTTCTTAAATTTGCTAAGATGTGTTCTGTGATCTAACATATGATCTATCCTAGAGAATGCTCCATGTTCATTGCCATCTTAGTGTGAAATCTTCTGATTCATGAAAGTGGGATATTTTCCATCTATTTATCACTTCTTTACCTTTAACCCTTGTTTTACTTTTTTGTGGTAGTTGGAATTGAACCCAGTACCTCAGGCATTCTAGGCAAGTGCTAAATCACTGATACAGCCCCTTTAGTTATTGGTTTACTCTGATGTAGGAAAATTCCATAAAGTTAGTGGGATAGAAAACATTCATGTTACTTTCACAGTCAAAAGTCTGGACACAACCTGGCTCAACTGGGTACTCTTATTTGTGTCTCATGACGCCAAAGTCTTGGGACAGGTGTTTTCCTTTCTGGAGATTCTCATGAAATAATTTGCTTCCAATCCCATTCAGATTTTGGCAAAGTTCATTTCATTCTTGAGCTTTCTTTGTGGTCCTTTCCATCTTAAAGCCAAGAATGGTGGGTTGAATCCCTCTTTTATTTCAAAAATTTCCTCCCATTAGCTAGAAAAGTTTCTCTGCTTTTAAGAGCTCAGGTGGTTATATTGACTCTACTCCACAAAAAGCCAGTTGGTCTGTAATTTTAATTTTATCTGCACCCTCCTTTTTACCACATAACATTATTCATGGGTGTAATGTCAGGTGCTGAAGATCACAGGAACCAGAATTGTACCTTCCATAATCTTATATCCACTTGTTGAACAGCTTAGCAGCTCTAGTCATATTTTAGTGGTTTGCTGGGGGTTTTCTAATTTCCCTGGCTAAAATTTCCAATACAGTGTTGGGAAAAGTGGTGAGTGGAAACCACCCTAAATTCCCAATCTTACGGGGAAAACATTTAGTTTCTCTCCATAAAGTATGATGGTAGTTGTAGACTTTCCTTAGATGTCTTTTATTAGGGTAAGAAAATTCCCTTCTAGTCCTAGTTATTTTAGGGTTTTTATCACGAATGTTATTGGATTTTGTCCAGTGTTCTTTCCAGATCTATTAAGATAAACGTGTCGTGGTGCATGTGTGTAATCCCAGCACTGGAGAAATAGAGGCAGGAAAATCATGAGTTCAATGCCACCCTGAGCAACACAGCAAGACCAGGCCACCCTGGACTACACAGTGAGACCTCAAAAAAAACCAAAAAAAAGATAATCATGTGTGCTTTTTCCCTTTATTCTATTAATATAATGTATGACATTAGTTTATTTTTGTATTCCTAGGGGAGATTAATTTGTAAATTATTCAGTTCGATAGTATAGTTGAGAATATTTTGTTTATATTAATGAGGGTTGTTGATCTGTAGCTTTCTTTTTGGTATTTGATGTCTTTGGCTTTGGTATCAGTAATATTAGGACGTATTCCCTCTATTTTCTGGAAGAATTTGTGAAGGATTGGTATTACTTCTTAAAATATTTGGTAGAATTGAAGTCATCTGATGCTGAGTTTTTCTTTGTGGAAAGACATTTTTTTTCCCAGCAGTACTGGAGTTTAAACTTAGGGCCTCACACCTGCTAGGCAGGCACTCTACCACTTGAGCTACCCCACCAGCCCTTTTTGTGTTGGATATTTTCAATATAGGTCTTGTGAACTATTTGCCCAGGCTGTCTTTGAACCGTGATCCTCCAGATCTCTGCCTCCTGAGTAGCTAGGATTATAGGTGTGAGCCTCTGGCACCTGGCTTTGGAAAGACTTTCAGTAACTAATTCAGTCTATTTGTTATCCATCTGATTTTTGTCTAGATTCTGTCAAGTATAATGACCCCAAAATATACTTTTAACATTTTTGCTGATGTAGTCAATTGTAAATGGCTAGGGTTTATTTCAAACTAAGTTGTCATGGATTATTAACTTGCATAGTTGAATGGGTAGAATAGTTTCTTATCAACATAAGAAAGTACCAACATAAAGTTGGTACTTTATAAACTGTTTCAGATGTTGTCTGGCTTGTAAATCATTTAATTTTATCAGCAACCTTATAGTACCCTTCCCTATAATATTCTTCCAGTAAGAATAAAAATGCCTATAATCTTTTAATGTCCTCATAGGCTTTGCAAACTATTTTTACTCTCTAGAAAATGCATGCATTCTGAATGGAGAAACTCAGCCTGTGCCCATTTGTTATATTGCCATTTCTCTTACTTACATTTTTCCTTCTAAATGTAAGTGCTCCTGCTGACTGTTTCTAACATGTTCTTTTCAGTGGAAATCCTAGGCTTGTATTATTCAGCTTGTAGACCTTGACTGACTGCTAGGTGTTATGCTAGGAACTCTGATAGGAAAACTTTCTCTGAGGAATCAGATTATCTTAGCATATTAGATGTTTATTTAAAAAGTAATCCTAAGGACTGGAAGTGTGGCTCAAGTGATAGAGCACCTGCCTAGCAAGTACAAGGTCCTGAGTTCAAACCCCAGTGCCACCAAAATAAAAAAAAAAAGAAGAAGAGAAGGAAAAAGTACTCCTATGAAAATCTAGATTAGATCTGTAGATGGTATTATTTTAGCAGTGTTGGTAAGGTTTTCATAGTAGTCCAGTAAATGGCCACATAACACAAAGAAATTTATATATATTTCATTGTGAAAAGCATAAATTAAAATATGATAATTATCTTATTATAACTACATAGTAATCATCTAAAGTATTACTCTTCTCTGGGTAGTTTCTGTCAAGTACATTGCTTTTTCTCTGGTTTCTAAGAGAAAAACAACAGGAGAAAGTTAATAAGATATTACAAGTAAGCAGAAAAACATAGATACAGGAAGTTTACCAAGTTCTTCAGTTTTATCTTGTAACAGAGTCTTGATCCTTTTTCTTAGACCAGAAGATCAATTCAGAAGTTATTAGAATGGGAAAATAACAGATTATATCACAAGGTAAGAAATTTTAAGCAAATAAGTATCCCTTTCACATATTTGCACTGTTAAATTGAAAAAATAAGTACTAAATGGGAATTTTTCAGGCCACAAAGGAATGAATTAGAGAATCAACACTTAATTTTAATATATATACTTTATAAGGTATAAGTGTTACACCTTGTATCTTATGCCTGGATTGTTTTCAGTGACTTATTCAGATGTACAGGTTGTAATTAATTTAAGCTGATTTAAAAATTCTTAACAAAATTCTATTTTCTTAGCTTGCTTTGCACTGGAAGTTGACTAAAAGGAAATGTGAAACTAGCAATATGATGGAGTATGTAAGTATGAAGTTGTTTTAATACATTTTTGGATTTCATCCTAAATGTAACATTTTACACTATTTATCACCTGTCAACTGCCTTTCTTCTTCTTAGCTTAAACTTTTGTCAGTTGGAATGTGGAGGTTTTCTTTAGATTTGTAGCCAAACTAAAATACCTTGAAAGCTAACAATTATTTAAATCTTCAAAAAGTCTCAGCAAGTATGCTCAGATGAAAACATCGTGCAGTCTTGAGTTCTTTTTAAATAGACACGAACCTTAGTATATGATAGTGAGACACCTGCTGTTGAACAAAATATTTAATCTTGACAAAACTTTCATAAAGTAGGAACTGACTTCTGAATTCATATTCTTGGCTTTTTTTCTTGGCTGACATCTTAACTTTTAGTGAAGAAACTATGTAGTTTTTAATATAGGTTCAGTATTTTAATTGAAAGGAATGCAGTCTTAATCATAAAACATAAATTCACATGTAACCACTATGATAAATTCAGCATCATTAATGTTCAAAAGAACATTAAACTTGCCCAAGCTACAAGTTGTTAATAGGTAATATAAATTTAATAATAAACATTCCGTTTGTATCTCATAAGCTAGGATTATTATGGTATCTCTTTCTGTTTTGAATAGTTGTGGAGAAAATGTGTAAATGATCTAAAATCTATTACAGATAAAACGTTAAAAATATCTTAGGTTTTTATTTTTGTATTTGTAACCTTTCTGCAGTTAAATTGTTTTGGTCAATTTGTTTGGGCACTTTTATTTTTCACAAATGACTTGTAAAGCATAGTAATCCTCAACTAATCAGCTGCTTTAATTAAAACATATGTAAGCATAATAAAGAGGGTTTTTTCTAATTTATGTAGCATAGTTTAAATCTCTTCCACTTTGCTGAAATAAAAAATGGGGAGAGGAAATGAAATGTAAAAGAGTTTGCTATTCTTACGCTAAACAAATAGTTACCGTAAACCAGGTAATAATAGCTATTAGCTACAGAAGTTAGTTTTGTTTGCTGGTTTAATTGTAAATTGCCAGTCTAATCATAACTTGTAGTAAGTTCTTTACATAACTCAGTTTCGTGTAGTTTGCTTACTTACAGTAAAGGATCAAAATAAAGTCCTGTGAAAATTGACGATAGGCTTTCTGAGTTACATGTTATATTAAGTCAAAAATACTTTGTCAATATATTCTTGTCTGTTTTTATTTTACAGGTAATACTAATAGAATTCCTACCAAAATATCCCATATTCCGACCTGACTGAGGAGTTTTATTCAGTCACTTTTGTGTTTCCTGTCATTTCCTACCCTTAGTGCCTTGTAGATGATTTTTGGAATGAAGATGGTCTCCTTTGCTGTGTTCAACTTATTCTTTATAATGGTTAGAATATTCTCCTCGCTCTTTTATTTGTGTTGGTTTAAGAAAATTTGCACATCTTTTTTGTTATTAAATGAGGCTTGTGTTTTGCACTCTCAATTTTTAAATAAATACACACATACATACATACATACATACATATATATACATATATATATTTGCCACTAAAAATGAAACATCAGTGCTGGTGTTTAGAAAACAACCTTGTTCTGAGCATGCTGCCTTATAATTTTCATACTCACTGTTTCTAAATATACATCATTTTTCTAGGCTATTTAATGCTCTGTAATCCCTTACTGGACACACTTAAATAAAGCTTTTGGTAGCTTTTAGAAATGGTTTTACTCTGCTTTTAAAGGACACGCTTTTAAAGGAAATGTAATTAATAGCACTGGTTTTGTCCTGCACTTTGCTAAATTATCACTTATGTTAGTGGATAAAATATTTAAACTCCTAAGGACTTGTAAATATTGTCTCTTTGCATAATGTAAAATGTGGTATGCCATGGTTTACAGAATGTAATATTACTCTTACTGTATTGCCAACAATTCTGCATAGATTTTAATATGAATGATGTTTGCAAGCATCCTTTTGAATGTAGAGACCATTAACATACTGTGTTATGGCAAAGCTATAACAAGTATGTTAAGTTTTCAGGTGTAGGGCAGGGTTGCCCTTTGTAAGAAGTGGATTAAAATTAAAATCATTGTCTCAGATATTGTGCATTATACCTGCAACCAGAAACCTTATTTTTTCCATTTAATTCAGTATTTCCCATTTTGTCCTCCACCCCACCCCAAAAAGAATTTATTTGACATTTGGCACATTTCATAGCCTCACTATCCCTCATTTATTTCTCTCTATGTATCCTTGCCTCCTCTGAAAATATACAGAATTATGACCTTTAAGAAGTATTTTGAGATTTCATGTCTTGGGAGGCATCTAGACCCCCATGAAAGCCACTGGTAATCCTTTTCTAGAGTTCAGATATTCTACTTTGGGAAAGAGAGATAACTGAGAAACTATACCTAAAGACTATATAGTGACCAAATCATACTTGATAAAATATTCTTAATCCTTTTCTTGAGGCTCTTTTTTAAACATTTGGAAATTATTGATGAGAGACAAGTATTTAGGCAAAAATGTTTTCAAATTCACCACACATGAAGTCATTTGACTGGTATGTGCATATTTCTCTATTTTTTTCCACACTCCAGTTCTACTAGAATTTGAAAATGTAGCATAATGAAAGCTTTTTATCACATTAATTCAACTGCAAATATAAGCCTGAATGTGCAGGCATTGTTTGTAATTAAAACAACTAAAAATAAACTTGAAAGGACTGGGACTGAATTATATTCTACTTGTCATTTTACTCCACTGCTTTTAGTAAGCTTTTTAGGCAAGCATTCATCCCAGTAAAATGAGCAATTATTTCTTCATACCAAGGTCAAGACTTTAACCCACTTTTAAAATTTATGCCTAATTTGAAATCCATACTCCTTGGCAAGTAGGAGAGAGAAGAAAGACACACTATTTGATATTTGCTTTTAATTGTTTGTACAAACACTACCACCTCCCTCTGTGGAACCTCACCCACGCTACCCAATCACCCAAAATCTCTTAAGTTTTAATATATTGTGTATGCCTGCAAATATCATGTGTCTGTCTGCTACAAAATTGAAGGTGTATTTTTATAGACAAGATGGAAACCTTTGAAAATGCATATCCAGTGTCTTGTTTTATAGCTAAGGTCATGGAAAAATTGTATCTGTGGTTTATGTTCCAGCTAATGTTGTCATCAAGTTTATGCTTCAAACTGTGACATTTTAATATCAAAATTGATTTTCATCATAATACAATTTTTTTTAGAATTCTCATTAATAGTATAATTGCTTCTAAGTGTCAATCCTTAAATTTTTTCTTTTTTTTCTGTAACCTTAGAATTTGACCATATGGTGATTACATTAACTTTTTCTGCCATGTACAAATCACACTTGGTTTTGCTCAAAGAACAGCAGGAAATGTAGTGAATTGTTTCCATGAAACAAATATTAAGATGAGTATTAGTTGAAGTTACAGTAGTATTTGCGATAAAGAAATTTCCAGCATTTGTAACGTAATTTTAACTACTCAGCCTTAAATTTGTTATTTTATTGTTCATTATGCTCCTTGATTAACCTTAGTGCTTGAACCATCCAAAATACAAGTAATTTTCTTCTTTTCTTTTTCTTTTTTTTTTTTTCCTTTCTTGTGTGACTGCTTTTTCAAACAGTTTTCCCTTGTAGGAAGCTGATTATAAGTTGGGTGTTTTTGGAGTATGTTGGGGAGGGATTATTTTCTTTTCATTGAAATTGGCAGCAGCAAATGCTGAAATGACAGAGTACACTGTGGCAATTAATTTCTCCCCCATGGAGCCCTTTTTCTATCATCCTCAGGATAGACCATGCTTGTATTTTTCCATTGGGTTAGTAAAGTATTTTTGTGAAAGTTGTTTTCAGATTGAAGAAATTAGTTTTGAATTTCTTTGTTACATAGTATTCCTTTATGAAATCTGTCATTATATAGGTTCCAGAGAAACATAATGTGTATTTGCCAAAGTATATAAATCTCACTAGGCTTTGCAGTTATGAGTTAAAAGAATTCTTTAAAAGTCACGTTCCAGTGCTTCTCATTTGGCCCAGGATTCTGGCTTAATAGATTTATTCAATTTAACATTTTTAAGCTCATCCAAAAGGCCAATGGTATGTGTGTTATTAATAACAAATATGAGAAGTGTCATTTGCAGATTTATTTAACTCCATCCCTCCTATACCCTTGTTAATTTAGGAAAGAGACCATTGTAGTCAAATTTTAGAAGTAGATGGAGAAGTGCCTTGTCTTTTTTGAACAAAGATAACATGCAGAAGGAAGCAGAATGAATGAACGGGTAGATCATTAGATTAGAGATCATCCTTTTCAACTAGGTATAAGAATATTTCCCTAGAGGGTTGTGTTTCTTTTACTTATTATACAAAGCTTGTTTCCTAGTTATCCTTCAATCATGATTTTTTTTTTAATTCAGGGCTTTGCACTTGCAAAGGCAGGTGCTCTGCCACTTGAGCCACACCTACAGTCCATTTTTCTCTGGTTGTTTTGGAGAAGGGGGTCTCATGAACTGTTTGCCTGGGCTGGCCTCAAACCACTATCCTCCCAATCTCAGCCTCCCAAGTAGCTAGGATTACAGGTGTGAGCCACCAGCACCCGGCTCAGACATGATAAAATGATAAAATATTTCAGGAAAGGAATATGCATCACTTAAAAATTAGTGTGATTTTAATGCTCATGAACATGTAATTTAACATGGTTCTGGGACAATGGTCTTTGACTGAAATCCTACAAAAATCCACTGAAGTATTTAATGCCCATGCTATTCATATTACTATGACCTGTAAACACTAATGCCTGAGAAATTAAGCTGTGTTAATACTTATCACGCTACCATTTTTAATGAAATTTATCCTTTTTTAATTATTTGTGTAAAATTCAAGTCCAATAACATTTGTAAGCCTTTGAACAAAGTGTTTTTTTAAATGTATGAGAGCTTTAAACATCATTAGCATTTTTATTTTTTTACAGATAAGCTACCACTTTAAAAAAAAATCAAACCTTGCTACTTGAACTTAAAGTCCCAAAATAATATTTCATTAAAATTTGGTATCCTAGAAGGCTATAGAAATTATATATTCCTCTCATTAATTGGAGTAGCTTTGCATAGTGGAAATACTTCTTGCTAGTTCTATTGGAACTTCTCAAATTTATGACAAAGGAATGAGTTTTATTAATAACTGTTCATGTAGTCTCTCTCTCTCTCTCTCTCTCTCTCTCTCTCTCTCTCTATATATATATATATATATATATATATATATATATATATATAT